GACAACAGATTGATATCTAAATAAGGAATTAACATCTGTATAGTGCACGGTACCATTCTAAGATTATTAGTAACTGGTAATTATCTATTACAGATGAGATTTCTTGTGGGATTTGTGGGATTTGCTGAAACTCTAGCGAAATAGACCAGTAGAAGTTGTTCTTGGAAGTTGGTCGTCTTAGATGTAGCGAAGGTTCGAAACATTCTACATGAATGCTTCCCACCGGACTGGATCGGAATGCTCCTAAACAGAGTCGAAGGCGAGTATTTTGGACTACATTTAGTGAACGTAGTAGTAGTTTACTTGACGACATGTAGAGAACTCTACCATAGTCAAGTTTTGAGCAAATAAGAGCTCGGTATATTTTTAGTAGTGTTTCCTCATCGGCTCCCCAACTATAATGAGCTAGTGATTTAAGGAGATTCATTCTTTGAAGGCAGCGACCCTTAAGTTCCCGAATGTGGGGTCTCCAGGAAAGTTTTTTGTCGAAAATAATGCCGAGAAGCTTTATTTGGTCTACTGCTTGGAGAAAATTTCCATTCAGAATAATGGTTGAAGATTGCGTGTTTTGTCTTCTGGTAAAATGAATAAAACATATATATTTTTATACCACGCCCTTGTAAGTAGGATTACTTGAAAGCGGAAAAACACAATATTTAGAAAAAGAACCTCCTATGACCAATAGGAACCAAGATAGCATTTTTTAACATTAAGAGCTGAAAATTGAACAGATTATATGATTAATTGAAGATATCAATTTTATGATCCAATTTATAGAAGGCATATACAGAGAAGGTGTAAAATGTTATAACCCTTAAAGTGATCGTACTCGTAAAATACCGCTATGTTGAAGTGAAGGAGTGAACTTACCGTGCTCCGTTTTTTAGAATGGAACTTCAAATTGAAGCGCGCTGGAAAAATTTGCAATATTTCGCTTGTATGGCACGTATGACATTGTTTTTTGTTACTGGGGTAGCTCGAGAAAATAATAAGAGCAGGTCTGTAACCATCTATAAAATGGATCATAAAATTTCAATTTTCGTTTATAATCTGTTCAATTTTTAGCTTTTATAGTCCTAGATCTCATTATAGGATTATTACGTTCATAACGTAGGTAGTTCATCAAAATCACATGTTTACATACATTTAAACTTAGGAGAATACATTGATAATAGGTTGCCAGTCAAAAAGTGGCAAAAGTAGATAGACAAACCAACCATTTGGTCGGTATAGCTAAGATTTATCACATTTCAATAACTCATTAATTGCCATAATTTTAAATAATTATATTACATGACATATGACATTATGCAAAAAAAACAAAGTTATTAACATTTATTTATAAATTACTGCAAAAATAAGAGTTTCTTGCAATTATTTCGGTTTATTGTTTATGTATTTTGATTTAGAAACTTGCAAATTAAAAAACTTTTTAAAATCTGCAACTTTTATTTGAACTTTTTTAGGCAAAAATAGTATATTACTTTATGAGGCGGAGAAGCATGACTTTTCTTGACGCGCCCGATATTACGCGCCGAACGAAGTGAGGTCGCTTCTTTGCCGAATAAAGTATACTATTTTTTCTTCAAACGTAGCAATTTTCAACCATAAATAGTACAATTCATACGCTATTTTTACTCGAAATTAACTGTGACAACTATCAACGTCGTCTAGATGTTAGAAATTAAAATAATTAGTCGTCGGTGGGATTTGCGTCTCCCTGGTTTCAGTTGTTTGACAGTTGTTTGCAATTATTAAAAACAGCTTATTGTTGTTGCAACCGCAAGCAAATTTAGTGAAAAAATGGAAAACCTAAACGAAATTGAGTCCGCGGCTAATGATGCAGTAGCACGTTTGGAGCCTCCAAGTCCGGAATAAAGTATCGGTTAGCGTACAAGCACTTCCAAGAGTGGTGCGATACAAGAGGAGTACGGCAAGTTACCGAAGACGTTTTTAGTGGCATATTTTAATATAATGGAAAATGAAAATAAATGGAAATCTTCTACAATGTGGTCACGATACTCTATGATAAAATCCGAGTTAGTTATTAGAAAAAAATGTGGATATAAGCAAATTTTTAAATTTACGTGCCTTTCTGAAAAAAACAAGCGAAGAATATACTGCAAAGAAGTCTAAAGTTTTCACTAAAGATGAGTTTGATAAATTTTTGTTTGAAGCGCCAGATAAGTTGTATTTAGGATTAGAGGTAAAAAAAATTATATTGCAAAGCATGTAGTATACTCTACTAAATTATAAAAATATTTCAGATTGTTTTGTTAATTGGGGTTACCGGCGCCTGTCGATGCGACGAAATGGAAAAAATGAAGACTGTGGATATTGAGGATAAAGAAAATGTAATAATTATCTAAATCCCAGACAGTAAAACACGACAAATCAGATATTTTACGATAATTGGTCAAAAACTACATTAAATTGTATAAAAAGTATGCATCACTGCGGCGTGAAATTTTCACAGAAAACCGATTTTTTATCAACAAGTACCAAAATGGAAAGTGCTACCGAAGCGTCATGGGAATGCGTATCAAGAGTCGGGAACATTTTTGCACGGTTTCAATTTTGAAAATGCCTCATTAACTAATTGTACTTTTAATATTACTATAAATAAAATTTATGTTTAATTGTTGTTAATGACATTTGTATTGTTGCTTTGTGACATGTTTTATATTGTTGCCATGACAACATTTTTCCCTCCTCCGTAAGAAATGGGGAAAAAAACTGCTACCGGCGGAGACATCAAACTTTGACAGGATCAAGTTAGAAGTAATGTCATCATTATTTGACGTTTGAAGAAAAAATATTTTTTCACTTTTTATGATTGTTAAAAAAAAACAAAGCAAAATGAGCTGTACTTCTTCAAGGATTTTTCATCAGCTATACCTCATAAATCTTTTTAAACCTTCAAAAATCTGTATAAAAGTTTTTCAGCTGTTTTTTTACTGGCCTGCAATATAATGTGAGAGTAACGTGCAAGGTTTCAGTAATTAAATATTTTCGAAATTATATAATGTTCCTCAGTACTACTCTGTTTTTCTCTTTCAACTTCTAACTAAGATTAATATAATATAATAATATTAATCTTGTGATAAATTTGATTACACTGACCACAAAAGTCTTTCCGGGCAACGTATATAGACATAATATATTTAACGTTTTTCCTTTTTATTTTCAAATGCTTTTTTTATGATCTAGTATGCATATTTATGCAAGTTCTTCTTGTTTGTGCGATGTCAAGCTTTGTCTCGTCATGTTAATTTGAAAAATGAGGATCCTGAATAATTAATCTTGTTATTTTTATATTCGTTTAAATTTATAGACTTAGCTGTTTGTGCATTGTTTTTTTTGTGTTGCATTGTATTGGTTGTTATTACTTGTAATTTTGGAATATTCTGTATAATATTTTACAAACCTATAACCGGTTCACAATTTGTCGATAGCTCACTACAAGTTTAACCCTAATTAGAGAACTGAAATACAGAGAGGATAGGTAATACGATATAATAGTAAAAACCAACCTGAAACTGACGGTTTAAGATGTTTTCGACTAACCCACCTTGTATATGAAGGAATAGAATACAGCAGTCAACCTTATAATCCGATTACAAAGGTATTTTGGTTACAGATGACCGGCCAGTGTCGTAGAGTATATGACTGAAATATTTATTTGAATTAAATAAATATATTTTTTACATTGTACTTATGTAAATTGTATTTTGTTTTAATAAAACTTCTTTATTTTATTCAAAAATAAAAAGTTTCTTACCATTTGTAAAAGATACATTTATTTAATTAAGGGGAAAGGCGCCAAATGTCGCCTGGCAAAAATTTCAATGTGTTTTAATTTTCGATCATTCATTTAATTTTCGATTCATTATTTTCGAATCCGGAGAAAACTAATAAATATTTTTGAAAATTTAAACGCAGAATGAAAGATTACATTATTACTGAGGGCAGAAAGTCCCTGAAAACTTCTACAATGTTTATTTTAATATGTTATGTAACAGGGGTGAAAATAAAAGAGAAAATATAGTATAATTTTTAATTGAAAATCTTGCATGCAAAAGAAACTTTTTATTTATTCTAATAAATATTTCATTCTGCCTTTAAATTTTTCAAAAATGCTTTTTAGTTTTCTCAGGATTTGAAAAAAAAACGGATATATTTAAAACATTGAATATTTTGACAGGCGATATTTTGCGCTTCACCTTTAATACCTTACGATTACAACTATTATTATTTACCTTATATAATAAGATACGATTAGAAAACTATTCAAATTCAAAATAAATAGGATCAACTTCGGAATCCGAGTCGTCTTGAGGGTTAATAATTAGCGGCAAAATTACTAATGGTTCAATTCTTATTTTTATTAATATAATATAATAACCAACATTAGCCGTGAAAGTTTTAATTGAGTATTAAAACATTATTAATATTGATAAACATTTTGGAAAGGAAAATAAATGTAAGCGCATTAATTTTAATGAATAATCACCTCAGGAACGCCTATGATGATACAAATTTTACGACCGTTTTAAGACTTTGAGGCACATTTCGTGCCCTCAACAGTTTGTGAACGGATTATAGGCAACTTATACTTGAAGGTTTAAAGATTATAAATCTTTTTATAGAATTGCAATTAATTTAGTATTTTTTTAGATAAAAAATCCCAAAAATCACTAAATTATAAAGAGAGAAAAAATATTTGATGAGATACATTTAAAAAAATTACTCGAAGCGATTTAGGAAATTGTTTTTTTTTTTTGTTATAAGATATTTGTTAATGCCACTTTCGGGCCCACTTGGAAAATTTTAAAAAATATACATTTGAACTTAAGAAAATTATAAAATTGAATAAAAAAGGTTTGGTTCGGCAGAAATGCAAAAAAATAGTCAGTAGTCTTATAGGAGTAAACCGCTCGCCTACACTGTTCTATATTAAAATTGATCAATTATTCTGATTTGTGTATTTCTGTTTTTAGAGCCTCCAAGCAGTTTGTTTGCGTTTATATTTGGAAATTCCCAACACATTTGACGGTAAGTTTCCTTCTTATAGTTATTAACACTACTGTACCGCAGTATATTGCTAAAAAAGCAATAATCTTTTAGCATTAAACTGTGACTGTACTCAGAATTACTTGTCGTGTTTTATTATTAAACTCGAAAAATAATCTATTGAAACGTGAATCTCCAGTGTTAAAAAAACCGCAACTGATATCCTGTTCTGTTATGGCCGTACGTTTTAAAACTTTCTGAAAGGAAATTCAGTGGTCGTTGGTCGTCAAGGCACCGATGTGCGATCGTTTGTTTTTCAATCAAAAACAGAGAGCGGACGCAACTGCCTACAGGATGTCCCAAATTAAGTTTAGGAACGATTAAAAATTATTATTATATTTATTTTTTAAAGTATGTACTTATAATATAACGTGAATAAATTCTGTATTGCCGGACATGGATTTGGTAGTGGGGTGGTGCTCCATCTTGTTGAAACCATATCAAATTCGCTAAAACTTGTGGATTTCCTGGATCAGGATACACGTTGGCACTACATTATTTTGGAGCAACGCTAAATAATTGTCGCCATTCAAATTGCCATCTATGAAAAAAGACCTATGATATGATCTTCAATAATGCCTGCCCACACGTTAATCTTCTCAGGTTATTGAGTATTGCCTTCTCTCCGTTTAGCCTGACCGTGAAAAGTAAAGGTGCACTCTTCAGAAAACAAAACATGTTCTAATTGGATCACATTGATGTCTAATATTTCCATAATTAGTTCACAAAAAGTAAGTTCTCCTGTCAAAATCATCTTCCATGAGCTCGTGAGTGTGTATAATTTTATAGGGATGCATTTTGTTTCGAAATTTGCAGAGAGTAACCAATAAACGGTATAGAGTACTGCGGCTGCTTTACGAATAGATGTATGTGGGGTGTTCCTCAAACTCAAGCATAACATCCAATTTAGTATCCTCACTTATTGCATTTGCAGGTCCTTTTCTACCTTCCTAACATAGCCCAGCTTGTGGAATTGCTCCTCTATTTTACTAATTGTATCAGGTATTGTATTGTATCATTGTACTAATCGTCTGAATTTAAAAATGATTTAATGACTGAAAAATATTAAAGTAAATATCATTATAAAATTTCGTAATTTATAAAAATATTAAAGTAAATTCATTATACATTTTATCATTGTTAAAAATTATAAAGAGAAAGTTAAAAAAAAGTACGTACTTGTCGGGTTTTCGTTGTACAAAGTTAGTCATCTTCCAGGTCACTTTGAACATCACTGTTCTCAATATCAGGCTCAGGTATGCTGTCGTCGATGTCGTTCGAGGTCGATAACGACTTATAATATTAATGAAATTCATCTAGAATGACTCCTGGTTGACACAGCTTTAATAGATCCTGTTTTTTTAAACTCATGGGCCGAGGTTTGGAGTATGCCTTCCAAAGTTTATTTCTCTCAGATTGACAGGACGACCTTTACCAAAAAATATTTATTTCTTTGTAGTCAGAACTGTGATCTTACCTGTACAACACAATGCCTGGTTTGGATTTTAAATATTTCAAGCATTTTATTTGTAGCCAGTTAACTTTTCTCCATTATTTGTATTTTTTGTCTTATTTTTCATTATTAGCTTTGATGGCGCCTCTAAGTCAAAAAGAGTTGAGTTCTTCTACAATATAAGGTTTCTTACCAAATTCACACGTCCTTGCCATACGGAAAATATTAAGCCCATTATGCATGGTGTAAACTGGAACATATTTTTGCGCCTTTTCAATAGCACTATGCATGCTATCTACCTCCACGTTACTATGTCCACTCTCGAGAAATTTTTTATCTGTCACTTGGTTTTGTGTGTACTAAATACATAAGCTGGAACTGAACGTAGAAGCTGGAAAGATAGGCCTTAATATGAATTACAGCAAGAACAAAACCATAACAAATACAGATGAAGACATCACAATGAGAATCGGACAAGATGAAATAGAACAAGTTCAGGATTATATATATCTTGGTCAAACTATAAAACTTAACAAAGAGAACCAAACGACAGAGATAAAGAGACGAGTTAGACTGGCATGGGCGGCATTTAGCAAACTAAGCTACATTCTTAAAAACAAAAGATATCCACACCAAAGTATACAATCAATGCGTACTCCCTGTTCTTACTTATGGTTCCCAAACGTGGACATTTACAAAAGCAAACATGGACAAAATCATAAAAACCCAAAGAGCAATGGAAAGACAAATTTCACATAAGACTAATGGATAAAAAGAGAAACGAGTGGATAAGAGAGAAAACAAAAGTGAGGGATGTTAGACAAAAAGTTGCAAATTTGAAATGGAGATTTGCCGGACACAATATAAGACAAAAAGAAGACCGATGGAACAAAATTCTGATAAGTTAGAGACCGTGGGAATATAAACGAAGGAGAGGAAGGTCCCAAATGAGATGGGCAGATGATATCAAGAAGCACGTGGGCTCTAGGTGGATGACTGTAGCGACAGACAGAGAAGAATGGAAAAGGATTGGGGAGGCCTATGTCCAACGATGGACCGAAGAAGGCTAATTGGATAGATAGAAATACATAAGCAATTTAGTAATTGATTGAGGTTCTGTTCGCTGCAAGTGTCAGAGAAAATAGAAAGTTCAGTAATATATGTGGAGAGTTTGTCGATATACCTTAATAGACACGTGCCGATTTCCAGCCTTCCTCGTTTTCCATTTAGCTCGGTCCATGAAAAGCAGTATGAGTTGTTGGGTATTGCCAACTCATGCACCGTTAAGTCGTTAAGTACAAATCTTACAGCTGTAATACATCGGACTTACATCGTTACTTGGAATCTGTAATACGCATTGAACAATCGTTTTTTCGCATAATGTGACTTTCGTAATTAACCACATTAAAATTGTTGCAGGATGCTCTTCTATAAGTTATTTGCAAAACCGGCATTAGATTCTCATTTTCGTACAGCTCTTTATACAAGCTGTATCTACATTTTTGCCATATTCAATTTGCATTCAAGGTACTACCTCTTCGTAGATTGTCTACTATAGTGGGATTCCATAACAGAAAAGCTTTCAATATGTTTTTTAACGACTTCTAAATCAGAATAAATTGTTTTATTATGGAGTACATTTTTAACCCCTTCTGTCCTTGCCAACAAATAAACCTTCTTCACCTTTAAACCTGAAGGCATGTTCAACAACGTCTTTGCATACACAAAATGTTTTTATAAAAAAAGTCTTTACAGACTCTTATTCTATGATTGTCCATTCAATAGTTTTTTAAGACCCTTCCCTTTTGTTTTCCCACATTTAAAATATGTTTGGACGTGTCTGGCTTCATCAGTACGTTCTTTGATAATTATTAAGTACATTCGGGCGAAGACATTAGAGGGATATAGAAAGCATTTGAACCCTAAAAGCTGTTGAGTTTAATATTAATTCTTGTAATAGTATTAATCTTTTAGGTTTACAGGTTTAGGACAAGTTTGTTAAACTTCCCGTGCTCGAATCGGTATCAATAAACTGTTATGAATCATTTCGGCCTATCCCAGCCTCATCAGACACTATACACTTTATCTAAATATGATTGTCGAGAAGAGATCAATCACACTTTTATTCTGTCATATCTTTTTTGATCTGTATAAACGTTTAGCCACGTTTATAGCTGCTTGCCTATGTGTCCATAGACATATAATAAAAATAGACTGACTGCTGCTATACAGTTGCGTTGTCCAGTGTGACAGAGAAAACTTACGTAAAGCAATCCCTGCACTTGTTTCTAATGAGCCGGATTTTTTAACCATGTGGCCTAAATGACCAATGGGAAGGTTACGTGTGGTCAATAAAAGCGGCCTATTAAAAAAAGATGCAGTTTTCTCTGTCGCACTGGGGAAACGGGACTCTATTACTGTATTGCAGCGCTAGCTCTATTTGTATTATATGTTTATGGTAAGTTAAGCCTGGATTGTTACGTTGGCAAACTTCAGGTCTACAATTTGCTTAGTATGGATTTGAATATCAAATTAGTTAAAATTGGCAAGTCTGAATAAGAGGGCATTATAAATTGTTGGTTTGTCTATCAGAACTTCAAAGTCTTGTACGTAAAAAGGAAATTTTGGTAGCTGTAATATATAAGATTGAAATGAATTCGTATCTATAAAAGATTCTGCAAGAGGAGGAGAATTTTTTATTCTCCAATAAGGATTGTTAAATTTTCTGTCAAAAGTAAACCTATTTTGTGAACCATAGTTGTATTAAACGATCTGTACGTTATTAGACGTTTGTTGGCTAACATTTGCCTACGTATGTGTAAAGGTGGTTCCTGGGCTTTTGCTAGAACTGCTTGGTTTGGTGAAGACGTCATAGCTCCTAGACAAATTTTTATTGATTTAAATTGTATTCTGTCAAGAGTTAATAGATTTGTTTTGCATGTTGAACTGTAAAGAATACAACCGCAATCCAGAATGGATCGTATGTAGGATCTATAAAACATTAAAGAGATATTTTGATCTTCAGCCCATCTTTTTTTAGAAACGAAACGCAGAAGGTTAATTCCACGCTCGCACACGCTTTTACGTACTTTATATGACTGGGCCACAAGAGCTTTTTATCTAGGATCATGCCTAGATACTTATACTCTTCTGCTAAGGGAAAATTATAATCACCTGTCTGGCATTTGCCTGTGACTTTTTGTCTACGTCTAGTGAAACATATAATCGAAGATTTTTCTTGTGATATACAGATGAATACAGTTCGGATGTAGAACTAATTTTTTCGAGTAGGGACTTACGGTTCCCGGTTAGTAATCCAATTACATCGACATTTTGCCGTATAATTCAATACTTTCAATTTTGTGTTCTTCAATGTAAACCCAACCACTTTTTGTACTACAACACTTCACTATAGATTGACTGACTAGTCCAAAAACGTTCTGAACTTTATTTTAATCTATTTGGATTTTTTAATTTAATTATTTAATTAAAAATACCACTGACAACACAAGCATTTTACTTCCATGTT